TACTTGGTGGGGAAACCCCTAAGCCGACGTGCGCTGGACCAATGTCCGAAGTTGTTGGCATTTCCGGAAACAAGAAATTGTCATTCACTCCGGCTCCGCTTGAAATATCTGCCTCCACCGTCACACAGGATGCCATCGCGTTGGGGCTTCTTTCCGCGGAGAGCCATGACTTCGCGTCCGTGTGCTTTCGCATGCTAATGCCGGGGCCGCGTCTGAAAGAGACGAGAGACAGCCGCAAGGCGACGAGAACAAGGTTCTGCTCGGACGGCGTCCCACCGGACAGCGCGGCGGGGGCGGCCTCCGAAGGGTTGCGCGTCGCAACAGACACCGGGGGAGAGGAGGAGAAGGCTGTGGAGAAATAGGAGGAGAAGCGGTGAGCGAGGGTTCGAGTGATGGGGGAGGGGGTGGGAGGAGTGAGGGAGGAGCGTGCGAGAAGTGTTGGTAAGAATGTGGTGCTTGAGCCAGTGGCGCACTCAGAACAATTCTTCCTGGAAAGTTCGACGACAGATCTTTTTTTCCACTTTTGTGCTCTTTTTCTACTTTTGTGCTCTTTTTCTCTTTTGTGTATCATTCTTACTTTTGGATACCGTTCTTACTTTTGGGTTCTATTCTTACTTTTGTGTTTTATTCGTACTTTGTGCTCTATTCGTACTTTGTGCTCTATTCGTACTTTGTGTTCTATTCGTACTTTGTGTTCTTTTCGTACTTTGTGTTCCTTTTCGTACTTTGTGTTCCTTTTCGTACTTTTGTGTTCCTTTTCGTACTTTTGTGTTCCTTTTCGTACTTTTGTGTTCCTTTTCGTACTTTTGGTTTTTGGTTTTTAATTTTTCCCTTCTTTTTACTCTTCTTGTTCTTCATCCAATTGTTCTCCCCCATGCTTAAGAAATGACGCCTGTTTCACGTACTGATCCTTCCATCGTTTGGCTGGTTGATCAATATCTACTGAAATAATTATAAACAGATAGTAGAACTCTTCATGCATTAATTCTGTTTATACGCAAATGTTTTTGTTCTCTATGGTAATTCTGCTCTTTTTTGACTGAGATCATACATTTGAAGTAATTTTCAATCATTGTAGTTTCTTTTTGTCTCTTACTGTATATTGAATGCATGAGAACCATCGGAAATCCACCGACGAAGGTAATTTTTGATGAATATTTTCTCATGAAGCTGTTGGTATTATTTATTTCAATTTCTTTCATTAGCAGATAGAGTCAATTCACTTTCCGTTTTAAAATGTTTAACAACATAACCATTAAAAGGTTGCAGAACGTGAAAAAGAATTTTTTGGGGAGGGAGACGAGAGCTTGCTGGAATCCCTTGCCAAGTGACTGGTTGGAATCGAGGATAACTGTGAAGGTTGTAATTGTTTGTCAATTTGAGACAATATGGCCAAGTATCAGAGTGGGAGTGTATCGGAATTGAATACGTTAGTTTGCAGGATCGCTAATGAGGTTCTTGGAGTGACATTGATAAGTTCATAACCAGCAGTCATATGTGCAATGATTTTTTACAAAAGGAATTTGATTTAATATTATTATTATTATTATTATTATTATTATTATTATTATTATTATTATTATTATTATTATTATAATCATCACCGTCATCATTATAGGTTGAAGCAGGCACAAGTTCGCGAGTGCTATTTTACTTTACAATGTAATCTTGTTTATTACATCGGCGGCAAATCATAATTTCTAGGAACGTGTCACTCGTGGATATCTAAAAATAATGAAGGTGGTGTCAAGCATGGAATTATTTTGAATAAAAACAGCTGCATCATCATTATAAATTTAGTACGTCGTAACTCGGTACTGGTCACGATTGTTACATAACATGTTGTGCCTTGGCAACGCAACGTATTAATGGAAGAGAGACGTCCATCCGTGAGTGATGCACATCTTCGTGAATGGGATTCCTTTTACATGTGTCTATTCGATGTTCCGTCTGTTAATATTACTCATAACAACTTTTAGTTATTCATTAAATAATGACATGAACATAATGATACGAAGACATTTATGAGTCACACCGTGAAGTGGTGTCGGAGGGGTTGGAATTTGATAGTTATTGGGAGGCCGTGGTTGATTGTAGTCCGTCTTCCTCCAATTAGCGTTTGCCAGCAAAGAATAATTCACAGAATTCCATGACGCTGTAACCAACGCTCCAGAATGCTCCAGATGCGACTGGCGAACGACAAATATGGAATAAAGTGAACGGTAGTCTTCCCAGTGTTTTGAACTGGTGTCAGTTATGGTGGTTCGCAGTTATGGTATTACTGCTGTTGATAGTGCGTGTTTACACACTTTTAATGATGATATTAACCTTATGAGAAGTTACTCTACAAAATGCTTTTATGTAGAAGATGCTATGTGTGGTTATACTTCCGATCATTTTCTCGCGAAAATAACATATGGAGCTGATGCATCAGCATTGTAGAGTTGTATTTTTCTAACCGTGCCTCTGACTGGTACCATTTGTTGACAGTTTCATCCAATCTGGAGCTTAAATGTCACTGCAGTGACGTTACTATGCTGACGTTCAAATTTCCGATTGGATGAAACCGTCAACAGCCGATACCTGGCAGAGGCACGGTTAGGAAAAATCGCACTGTAGCCAGTCAGTTATATCAGATGGTCAGTCGTGTATACGTCGAAGGAAGATAAAACCTCGCACCTGAGTGTGAATGCGAGAAAACGTTGGGGCTACGAACGAGAAGCCCAATTGAGGCCAGGTGCGAGCGAGGTGGGGTTAGAGAAGGTGGGTATGGGTGGGGAGGGTGAACTGATAGTTAGACCCCGCCGCCTGGTAACCACGGGCGACGAAAGCAGCCCACGACAGCGAATAGCGAATGGCAGGGACGAGCAGCTGAATGCGCGGAGGAAAGCCACGGACCGCGCGGAGACAAGTGATTCGGAAGGCGAGCGGGGAGGGCGGGGAAGGGATTTGAGCGGAGCATCAACAAATGGGGCGCGGCGGAAGGGTGGGACAGTGTGCAAAGGAGGAAACGGGTGCAAGGCGAAGGTGAAGGGGAAATGAAGAATAGAGGAGAAGGAAATGAGAAGAAAAGGGAGAAAGAAGAGGACGGGAAGGAGGTGATGCAGTACAGAGAGAATAATGGAGGAAGAGGAGTAAGAAGAAAAAAAGAAGAAGAAGAGGAAGAAAAAAGGAAGAAAAATGAAAAAAAAAGAGAGGAAAGGAAGAAGAAGAAACGAAGAAGAAAAGGCGCGAGAGACGGGCGGCCATCGAGGGGACATCGCGACAGGTGCCGCGGGAGCCCAAGGTAGTTGAAAGGGGGTTGGATGTGTGGAATGACGGGTGGGTGCAGTGAAGCTCAGTGGCAGGGAGAACCGGGCTTGGCCGCAGCCGTACGTGGTAAGCAGGCGGCGGGGCAAGGGGAGGAGGGTCTGCGTGACGGCGACCGCCCAGGGCACGTCGCGGCGCGGCTGGTTCATTGCGAGGGCCGGCGACGGCGCACATCATCGCGGCCAAATTTCCATCTCATCTCATGGCATGCATGATGCATCGGCGCTCCTTTGCGCCCCCCGCCCCCCGCCCCGCCCCGCCCCCCCCGCCCCCGCCCCGCCCCGCCCCCGCCCCCGCCCCCGCCCCGCCCCCCGTCCCGCCCCCGCCCCCGCCCCCGCCCCCGCCCCGCCCCCCGCCCCGCCCCCGCCCCGCACCCCGCCCCGCCCCGCCCCGCCCCGCCCCGCCCTGCCCTGCCCCGCTCGGGACGCGTATGTTGGGTCCCTGACACCGTTGCCTACACCGATACTCACGCCCTTCCCGCCGCCACGTTCTCTGTCGCCCCTGCCTTCGACACTGGCCTTGCCTCCGGCGCAGCCAATGTGTCCTCCCTCGCCTTTGGCTCCGCATCCCCAACAACCGGCAACTATGGCCCCCACCTTCTTCGCCTTCTCCTCGACCTTGCATCCGCCTTCTCCTTTTTGTCCGTTACTTCCTTCTTTTCTATTTCCCCATTGTCTTTTTTTTAATTTTTATTATTATTGTTATCCTCCATCTTCCTCGTTTTGTACCGCATCATCTACTTCCTCGTTTTGTACCGCATCATCTACTTCTAGTTCTCTTCTGCTTCTTTTCTTCTTTCTCTCCTTTTCTCATTTTCCTTCTCCTTCATTCCTCGTTTACCTTCACTGCAATTGTTCCTCCCCCATCGCCCTCGCCGCCCTCGCCTCTTGTGCCGCTGGCTTCCTCGAGCCGCAACTCCCACGCCGCATTGCGTTGACACCTCGTCAGTTGGCTCTCACGTCTCTAAGCTCTACCAGAATGAAGACGAGGAAATGACACACAATGTATGTTGTCATTGTATGTTGTCACAACTGTGTGTTTGGATGTTTCAACTTTACTATAAATAATGAATGACAAAAATAAAAATTCCAGACGTTTTAGAAATCTAGCGTCTAAATTTCAGAAAAATTAAGAGTTCCGAGTATATATTTATATAATTTTTAAATATTATCTTGCCACATTCCTACACTTTTACCGATAGGCTGTCCTAGAGTTAAAGTGGTCTGGTAATAATTCAGGCAATAGGCATTTCGATCCGTATACGCAGTCATTTATTTAACAAAAAATGTATACATCCATTTTTTGAATGCAAGTGTCCTATATCTATACCACTTCATGTTTCAAAAGAGTTTTCCCACATGAGGAACTTATTTATATTGTTATTTTCGTACTTGCTTCTCAGATTCTTGCTGAAATTTTGTTCTGAATAGCACAAATACTGATCAATTTATTTATTTTTTATTTATTTATTTATTTTATACTTTATTTCTTTTTTCAATTCTTTTTTTTATTTATTTTTGTTTTGTTTTATTTTTTATTTATTTTATACTTTGTTTTTTTGAATTGTTTGATTTATTTATTTTTTGTTTTCTTTGTTTTATTTTTGATTAATTTTCATTTTTGAGTTATTTATTTTATTTTGATTTATTATTTATTTTATTTATTTATGCACTTCAAATATTAATTTACAGCTTCCAGATGTCCCAAGACACAGACGTCTTCACAGAACTGATAAGCTGTGATATTTGGTAAGAATTTCCACTATATTCCCACAATATTTCATTAAAATAAACTCGTTCAAAATGTGGATTATGCACTAGCTCCTTACTTACGATAACGAATTCTCTGTGTATAACGTGACTCATAACCATAGAGGCTCATTTAATACACTTTTTTACAATTTTTTAGGTATTTCGTAACATGTAATAATAGCAAGGTGGGGGGAGAAAACATTAAGAAACCTGAAGTAAAATATACAACAGGGGTTAAACCGTAAAAGAAGGTCGTAAGTTTTTAACTCATTCTTATGTAAGCAGGACTCTTAATAGAATGAAAATATCTCCACTATTTCCTCACGAAGTTTTCTCACACTTGTAAGAGAATATCTGTAAAATTAAAATGACCTGTCTTACTCATAAGCAATATAGTACGTACATTAACATTATCGAAATAACCTATGTTTTAGAATACCTTGAATACAGTGAAGTTCATCAATAGGTTTGCACTTTATTGTCATCCCAAGATGGAACTATTGATTTTTCCTTTCATTCTATTCTCCACGTTTATAAAGTAAGTGGATAATGACGACACATTGTCATTAGTACATTTTAACGAGCGGAAACAAAATTTAGTAGTTGATCAGTAAAAAAAAGTAGATCTGGTCAATTAATTCATATTCAACACGAAAGAGAACATTTGCGTAGGCTTCTGATAAATTTATTTCGCATCGGTTGAGTTCCATACTCTTTGATAGATAATTTCTTTTTAATTTCTTCTTTGTAATGTTTGGTCGGGTGGGTGTTCAGGAGGTGCTCCGCTCGGCGACCTCTGGCGCAGCTCATTGCGCATGCGCATAACTCTCGTCGCTCTGTCGGCGCGACGCTGCCCGAAACGGCGGCCTCGTTTGCACCCCATCACTGTCATCACCCTGGCCGCCCGCTCACCCTCGTCAAGCGCTCCCGCCTCTGGTGCTCACGCAGCCGCAACTCTCTCAGCCATCCACTCTCCACCGCACTGCCCTTCCTGCCTCTCCCCGCCCTCTCCCCGCCCTCTCCCGCCCTCTCCCCGCCATTTCCCCGCCATCTCCCCATCTCCCTGCTCTCTCCCCGCCCTCTGCCCACCCTCTGCCCACTCTCACGCACTCCACCGCCCCTCCCGCACCTTGCCGTGCATGCCGCCACCGACCTCCCCACGCTCTCGCCGCCTGCATCGTCAACACACCGCCTTCTGTGGCCCTCCCTCTCCTGCACCACCCCGCCCCTTCCATCTCTGTGCCAACGCCTTACCGGGCGATATAGCTTGGCGACAGCATTGCTGTGGTCACTCCAGAGACTCAAATCGAGATCGGTAGTTATTCGCGGATTCACCGATCAACACCAGGCGAATGCCGCATCAGCCACTCACCACGCACGAGCTTTCATTCCTCTTCCTTACTGCATCTTCTTACATTACATACACACACATAATAATGGGTCAAAATCAGAACGGTATATGTGACGTTTTATAAATTATGAGTAATCTGATTAAGTAAATATCACTGTAAAGTGGTGCTTTGTTCCATCACTAAAACCACGGCTTTTCAATTTTTTATTAAAACCACGAAAATACATTGCTACTGAAGTAAAGCCGAAAATAAACTCGTTTTTCACCGAATTTATTAAATGTCACTTACACCGTTCTGGTGTTCATTCAAGAGCTCACTCCGGAGCTTAGAGCTTGTTCCGGCGAGTGCCCCGTTGAGGGAGATTCCTGGAGGGGGAAATCCCACGCGCCCTGGCCCCCACGCCTTCGCCGCGCGCACTGGAATTCCGCGCATTCTGCATTCGCGATTGTCCTTTGGCCCTCCGCCCACTCCCTCTCCGCACTGGCACGTGGTGGGCGTTGCTAGGAAGCGCGGCGAAGGCCTAAACACGCCCGACGCAACTACATGCACTGGGATGCGAAGCAGTGGGGCTCACCCCTCCGCCCTGTTTGAGATAAACGCTGCAACGGTGGATAATACCCATAGCAGAAGTTGCATTTCACCGTTGTTCGCAAGACCAAACTGAAAAAAATCTTCCATCATTAACATTGTCATTCATTACTAGTTATTTATGCGACACCATTCTCTAGTGTTAAATCATTATTTTTTCTTGTTTTGGGTATGACAAGTTTGGGAGTATTCCTTTTAAATGCAGATGTCCGTTTGGAGGCTACACGAGATGAAAATAAAGTAACTTTTATCTCGACGTGTATATGTATGTTCGTGATGGATGAATGGAAGGTGAATGGATAATAGGATGAAGAAAGTTGTGTGTTTGTATGTGTGTGTGCGTGCGTGCGTGCGTGTGCATGCGTGTCACACAATACTTGGGCAGCTTAGTAGAATGTGTAGAATAGCTTTGTTCAGGTCTATTAATGCTATTCTAAAAGTGACATATATTGTTGCAAGTGGTGAGGAGGTAGTCGTAGTTTTGTACCAAATCGCTAATAAGAAAAAAAATGGGAAATTTGGTAAATGGTTTCAAGCATTGTACCTGTTTCTTGTCCCATGTATCCTACACACTGTCCAACCGTACGTTTTATTCCTGTAAGGAGAATTTTAATAAACTCATTTTCGCTCTCCTTATTATCGCTTTTACATTAATTAATTAATTAATTAATTAATTAATTAATTAATTAATTAATTAATTAATTAATTGATAATTTTTCCCGCACGCGTCATCTGCTATGAACATTAGTCCCCTAAGCAAAGGACATGTAATGTACCGGGAAGTGGCAATGTTTATCTCCAGCTTGATTGGAGATCCGGGGCGAACCTACACAACGGTTTGCTGAGTAAACCAGGTACCTCCTCCAACGGAGCACCATTTCACTCTGCACAAGCTCTACGCTCCAGATGGATCTATACAAGTATGTTGTTATAATGTAATAACAAGAGTGGTGCGTTAAGTTTGTAGGATAGTGGACAGTAATGAACTAGTATTCTTTACGTAGCTTCGTTCCGAAAGTCCGTGAAGCGCGACGATGGGGATTAAGACGGAGGTCGCCCGCTGGCCCCGCCCACACACGTGCAGGCGCCTGCCGCCTCGTCGTCACGCGGCCCAGATGCTGCTTCGATGCGTCGTCATGGCCGAGGGCCGTTAACAACCCCGGATCGATTCACTTCGTGAGCGAAACCACAAGCACGGAGATGTCACGGAGGGTGCAGGTGGATACATCGGACGGTGACCGAGTTTGGAACGGCACCAACACACAGGGAGGTAATTTAGGCGTTCGGGTGTAATTGACATTGTGATGGAATCTAGTAGTTTATTGTCCTTAATGGAGAAACGAGAGAAGCTTGGTCTATGCGACATCCCACGTATATAAAAGAACTGACAACAAATTGCAGTGATAATTGGGCTGTAGCTTGTGGCATATGCCATTCGTTTCAAGTCAACCATGATATCACACTTCACTTTTCAGAAGAAGTTTTCTGTTTATATTTGTTTTTCTTTCATTTTTAGTATCAAATTATCATAAAGAAGTTAGACGTAAGAAAATAAATGTTGAGGTTGTTTAAGCCTGCATTTCTCTGCACATGTGCCGACAGTCTTCTTATTTATCTGCTTTTGGTTTTAGAAGCGAACTTTTATGATGGTACAGTATTAAAATGTTAGATCCTTCAGTCGAAGATTACTATTTTTCAGTAAACATTTGATGGGAATAATCTGTTAACGAAGTTACATAAGTGACATTTAGGACTGTCAATCTTTAATTGCCGAAACTTCAGGAGATGGCGTGACCGCTGACAATGACAATATTAAGTAAAATCATCTTAATTTAGTTTTAACTGCAAAACTTTCTCGAAAAAACAGCCTAGGAATCGCATAATGTCGACGAAACACGTTCTTATGCACCCTCTTAAACGTATCTAGTCTGGGTTGTATTGGAAGTTTGCCACCAGATATTCCTCCCCCGTCAGTGGCGTTTCGATTACCAGGGTCTTCGTAACCCCCACCGGAAGCATACGATGTGTGAAATCTGTGAACAACAGAATCCAAGGAATCGGAGGGCCCACTGCTTCACAAGGATTCCGTATGTCTCACGTATTTACTCTCAACCAAACGCAGAGAAGTGTGAAAAAGGACTTTAGCAATACTACTATCATTTTATTCACACTTGCAACAATAAAGTTTGCTGACTTGATTTGCTAAATGTTTTTCAAATGTCATTTCGGAAATAGATACGAGTACTTTGCATATTTTTAAAAAATAGAACCTATATTTATTTTTATATTGAGTCTTTAATTAAAAGTGCTTGATCTTGTAGGGGAAGACGTGGTTGTAGGCCTGTAGCTATTCCCTGCACAATCTCCGCGCGCTAATAGTTGCTTAATATCCCTCCATCGCCTGTATATGGGCATAGTTTCACGCGGCGAGGCGCTCCAAAATTTCTCCGCAGCGGCTCCGACATAAGAATGCGCACGACCGCCCGAACTCCGCAAACATCTGTCCTTGTCAGGGCGAGCAAATTGGTTCCCCTCCATTCCCCTCTACGCTTCACGCCCCCCACTGCCCGCCGCCGCCTGGCGATGCGCGGATGAGTAGGAGGCGAGAGGGAGGGGTTGGGGGCGCGGCGGCCGCGCGCAATTAGCGCCGCCTGGCGGCCGGAACTGCAATTAAGGGCGGAGGGCGCGCGGCGCTTTGAGAACGAGCCCCGCCGGCGGCCTGGGCGCCTCCCGAGCATTCCGGGGCGCTGACCGCCCCGCAGCTGGCCACGCCCACCCCCACCCACTCGCGCTTTCGCGGAAGGCACGGGAGGGGAGCGCCTCAAAGGAAGTTATGTGAATGCTAGTGACCGCCGAGGAATTTGTTTATGTTACGACAGTTATTTATTTCGATATATTCCAGTGAACAAGTTGCAGGGGTGCAGGAGACGGCTTGACTTCTGACAGCTAATAGACTGTTCTGCCGTCCTGGAGAAGGTCTGCGGCACTTCGTTTGAGCATTTCATTGTGAAGAAGGTCGCAGTATGATGGCTGAAACGTTGGCACCTGTGCCTAGGA